CGGCCGGTAGTCGTACGCCTCCAATGGAGGCGGCTTCTCTGGGTGGGTGCTGGTCAGGTGGGTAGCGACGGGGTCATCCCAGGCGGGGAGCAAGGAGCAGGCCCCCAGGAAGAGAGTCGGGGCGGCTTCTTGCAGCGTTTCAGCTGTCTTCTTTCCCCACTTCTTCTTTCCGCGGGCGGCGGAAGGCGGAGCCGTTGCGAACACGTCGCCCAGGCTACGGGCAACGCGTTAGTTTCTCCGCTGTGTGAGACGCTCACGCAGGCGGCGTAGGCACTTGCGTGCCCACTCGAGCGGGTACTGCTGTCCAGGCGGGCGCTCCTCCGTGAGGAGGTCTGCGCCCCGGGTGGCCAGTTCCAGGGCGATGGGGTCCTCTAGTACCTCGGGCTGGGAGCGCCAGTACACAGTCTCCTGCAGCAGACCGAGCCGCTGGTGCTCGGTCTGCCGCGCTGTGTTTTCGTGGAGACTTGTCATTCTGTCAGCGTTCGCGGGGAGGGCGAGCAGGAAAGCAGGTGAGCGAAGCCAGGAAGTCCGGTAAAGGGGTTTATTGGGTAAATGGAGAACAGGCACGGACATCCACGGACAATACAATGACAAGTCTGGGGAAGACTGACTCAGACGAGGACTAAATACAAAAGACGGGCTAGACATAACAGGACACAGGTGATCACAATCAGGGCTGAACACGAGGTAACGAGGTGGGAGTGGCACACATCAGGAGCGGACAGAGCGGATCATGACAATTAGAAACAAAATTAATGATTTAGAGGCTTTAATTTCATCGGACACTTACGACATTATAGGAATATCTGAAACATGGATGAGTGACAATGATGGTGAAGAATATAATATGGATGGTTATACGTTGTTCCGTAGAGACCGGATAGGCAAGAAGGGAGGTGGTGTTGCAGTATACGTAAAAGAAAACTCACTGATAAAAATAAAAGTACAGAAGCTGTATGGATAAAACTTGATGCTAAAGACTCAAATGGCCTAATTGTCGGGGTTTGTTATAGAGCACCTAAT